AGATTGTGTCACAAGAATATCACACAATTCTTCAATGGATATGGCTTTGTTTTAGCCCTCACTCAACATAATTGTCTCTATGGTTGGGGTTATAATGATAGGGGACAGTTAGGTATGGCACACAAGGGAACGGATTATTTATACGCAGAACCGGAACTTATTGATCCCAAATATATCGATAATAAAGCCATTAATAAAATAAGTTGTGGTAATTTTCACACATTGATACTCACAGGAGATGACTGTGTCTATGGATGGGGTTATAATAGGTACGGACAGTTAGGTTGTGGATCAGACAGTGATATACAAAACGGAACCATATTTCTAGTGAATTTCAATCCTAATCACGAAATTAAAAGCATTTATTGTTGTGCTTACTCTTCATTTGCCATAACATCTGAGGGACAGGTGTATAGTTGGGGTCGAAATGATTGGTATAATTTGGGACACAATTCATCGGATAATATATGGAAACCACAACTCATTGCAGACATGACTGGTATTAAGACTATCTGTTCAGGTGGTAACACCACTTACTTCTTATCGTATGATGGATATATTAAGTTTTGCGGACAAAATAGGAATAAAAACAACGAATATTTTGTGCAAATATCACCAAAAATATTAAATACTGATAAAAGGTTTACTGAAATGACTATGATTATTTCAATTATTAATATTTTTTGTACGAGTTATGCTTTTATGAATGGCAAAATATATCGTATTACAGCCAACCAAGATGATAATATTATTGAAACAAATTATACAAATTTCTTCGACTGTTTCACAAAAGAGTTTCAAATGACTCAAAAAACCATTGATTTGTGTGATTATAAGGAATATAATTATAAGAATTGCGAAGAATTTATTGCAAAATGTTTGGATTATTTGGAAAAAGTATTTTCTTCTATAAACGAGTTATCGAACAATGGTATGAATTGGTTTTAGGGGTCTCCACATAATGACTAACACATTCATATACAGTATATAGCAAAATAAAGCGTTATCAACAGTAAATAGAGTACCCAGATCTCAAGGTTCAGAAAGAATTATCAATGTATTTTCCAAATATTTACTAAAACTTAATTTTTACAGAACATAAATATCCTGACAATAATTTTCTCCAAAAAAGGATAAAATGAGAATACTAACTAAAATATCAAAGATATTTAATAAATATTCAAATTAGTAAACTACATTTAACAATTATTTGACTAATTATTTAATTTATCTAAAATTTTAAGCATAATTATAATTTTAATTATAATTCGAGTATTAAGCAAGTTAAATGATATTTTGATAAAAATATTAATATAAATTAATACTTAAGGAAAACTTAAGGAAATTTTACGCCTCCAACGCCCACTCAAGCCTCCAACACAAAAGTTGAAAATTTAATGAGGTTTAAGAGAGAGAGAGAGTTTAAATCTTAGTTAAAAAAAGATATCTTTATTATTAATTTATAAGAATAAGACAGTTTTATTCTCGGCTTCATATGGGTTTAGAGGACGTTTAGCGCACATTGTCTGTCATTTGGAAAAAGTAGTTCAAAGCAAATCCGACATAAAAATTCTTGAGAAAACACTGAATTTATATTGTTTTTGGGAGCATTTCTTGGGGAATATCGATCATGCAATTAGCCTCCCCCTGTTAATACGTATTTTTTGAATGACATTTACCCAAAATGTATGAGTGAATAAATTTATTTAATGTGCTTTATAGTTGTTTCCGAAGTGAATACTTATAAGCGTTTGTTCGAAGAGTTGCATTCATTAGGTTCGGGAGCTTTTGGAGAAGTATTTGTAGCTAAAGATAAATATGATGGACAAGAATATGCGGTTAAGAAAATAAGATACCAAGGTAAGTTAATGATGTTTAGATATAATATATCTACTATAACTATAGCATTATTTAAATGTATCATACTGCATTTGTAAATCTTAAAAATTTGTAAAAATATTTTGTACAATTTTCAATTATTTTCAATTAATACACTTACAGATGATGACAATTTACGGGGATGTATGCAAGAAATGCAAAAATTGGTAAAAGTTAGGTCAGAATATTGTGTCCAATATATGGGTCAATGGATTGAAAACAATGTGTATTACATTCAAATGGAGTTGTGTTCCCATAGTCTGAAGAATATTCTTCAACAAAAACCACAAGTATTTGGTCGACAACCGGGAGAACCCATGAATTCAATCGAGTTTTACATTTCGTGTCATATATTCAAAGAGATCTTAGAATGCGTTCAATATTTACATGATTTAAAACCTCCGGTCNTCTATTTTCGTCGACAAGTGTTTCATTGTGTGAATCATTGGACTCGTGTTCCGTAGGCCTCACATCACTTGTATGTATGGATCGGCTATTACTGGACTCCACTCCTGATTGTTGTGGGCTTTTGTTTGCACTAAGTTTTAAACTCATATTTTACACACAATTAACAAATTATTGTTATTCAAATGTACATATTAATCGTGAATTAATAGTTTTAGAAATTTAATTATAAATAAAACACATTTCAAAAAAAGACATGTATACATTTCATATATTTTTAATAGGACATAGTTAATTACAATGATTGTCATAGTATTTTATTATATCAAGAGATAAATTGCAATAACGTAAAGCATTGTAAATAAAATATTATACGATTACATTTGAGGTTTGACATTTAAAATTCCTTTATTTATCTAATAATATAACGCATAATATTATTTCAGAAATATTACTCAATAATAATGTTTCAAGAATTAAAAGTAGTATCAAATGAGCAAGGTATGGGATAAAAGCTTTACCTATTACTAGTGCTGTAATTCCGTAATTGGGGAATTAATTGGTTTTGAAATTGAATTATACATAAAACACATTACAAACGAAGTCACTATTAATTACATTTATTTTTATTGTTACAAGAAATAGATATCAATAATGATTGTCATGGTACTTTTATCATGTCTTTAGATAAATTGTAATGCAGTGCACTGTAAGTAAAATACAATTACGTTTGGGTTTTGATATTTAAAATGACTATTTATCTCATATTATAACACTTTTATACGTTAATAGTATTGTATTGTGTTATGTATTGTAGGTTTGATAAGTTATATAAAATATGTGTTTAATTATTATTATATTTCTCAGATATAATAGACGGATATAAAGAGATTTGAGTCGACATTAACCATTCACTCAATGCATTCACTCTCTCCCTCATACACTCCCTCATACACACACTCATACACCCACTCATACACACACTCATACACCCACTCATACACACACTCATACACCCACTCATACACACACTCATACACCCACTCATACA